TGGAGCACAGTTGGGGCCTAATTGTTAACTTAAAGAAAAATTAGACAACTTTCAATGCAACTGTATGGGATTTTTTTTGTTCGTTTCTCCTTACTTTGTGAATATACAGTTTTTTTTTATTTTATTTACAGAATAATAATGAATAAACAGTCTCATAAAGACCAGGGCTTCAAGATTTATGGAAAACTCCATTCAATAGTACTTCATTAATCCCAAAGGGAAATCCGGTTTCAGTACAACTTCAGCTTTATGAATGATGGAGGCAGGAGTAGTGTAGGACCTTCAACGTGGCAGACATGTTTCCCCTCCTTTCCCCAGATTGGTGCCTCAAGTCAATCCTTTCTCTGCAGTCTACAGAGATTTCCTTTGAATCCATGCTTGGTGTTTGCACTCTTATGGGACCTCATGTAAACAGGTGTGATTGTTTCCTAATCACGGAGAATTAACTGTATTTACCGAAGGTGGACTCAATGTAGGCTGTAAAAAAATCTAGAGGGTGATCAGTGGAAAAAGTATGTACCTCAGCTTAATTTAGGTCTTCTTTTTTCTGTTTTCTGCTTTCCGCTCGTACTTCCAGTCATCGTCTCTCCTGTCATGTTTTTCAATCCTACAAATGCTCCTTTTCTTCTCCATCTCACCCTTTCTTCCATTCTTTCTTCAGTTTGTCATTGATCAGTCTCCTTGTCTTATTTACTAACATAGTTTGTTTAAATAATGTCAATCCTTTTAATTACATAGCACCAGGCGTGGAAAGCAACCAGTTACATTAACGGCTTAACAGAAAGAAATGTAAATATTATTCTTACCTGCTGTTTGTTCATAATCCATTTGCCTTAAACACAATGGATTAGGCTTTTACTGTTGAGTGTTATTAAAAGCTATTTGATATGGGGGATGGTGTATATTGGACAAAAGATAGCATGAAGATCAGAATCACCTGATTTGAAGGAGGAGGAGGAAAAGCAGAGGGAAGCTTCATGGGGAAAGATCCAGAGGGTTTAATATGAGAAAAGAGGATGTTCAGATAGGAGAAATGATCAGCTTCAGAGAGCTGTACATATGTGAGCTGCATATAATAACTCCAAAATATGTATACCTAATGGTTACTCTGAGAAAATACATGGTGTGAATTAGTAGGATATAAAGAAACCAGATGCCTCTTTAATTTCTGATTAAAAGTCTAAGACAAATATCTCCTATCTTACTTTGTGAAATGGAAAGAAAGTATTTTTTATTTTAATAAGATGTAACTAATTTTTACTTTATGTAAAATTTGGCATAGGTAACTTCTACGTTTATTATTGAAATTTTGCACTGGTATCTTTAATATTATTGAACTATATTTTTTGTTGAGTTGATTGTTTTTGCAGTCTTTCCACCTCTGCAAATCACCAAGTGCTCCACAGGACTGCTCTGATGGTGTGACCAGCCAGCCACCTGGGGGGTTAGCTTGGGGTGAGGGTTTTAGGGGTCTATTATTGTAACCCCCTCTGCAATGTGAGGTCCAGGCTGTTAAAATGGTCAGATTAGTATTCTTCTTTGAAACTTTAAATTGTGCGTTACTGCCACCAGCTGGTATGATTTAAGATACCAAGTATGCACTATGCCATCAAAGTGTTTTGATTAATTCGGTTTTCTCAGGAAAATCTAACACAATTTTGTATTTTTGCTCCCGAAAACTTCTTTGCAATTGTTTACAATATTAGACTTGTCAAATGCTCTCCTTGTGAATTTTCTTTCTTGCAAGTTTGACAGTTCAACATATGTTCTGAAGATTGCTCTTCTCCACAGTATTCACTATACTGTGCTTTTGTATTATAAACAACTCATTTATGTCTAAATCTTGATTTTGTATTTAATATTTCCTCTTTTCTGGTCCTTCTTCCACTTCTACTGTCTTTTCATCTTCCTTCTTCCTTTTTCCATTCCATTGTTTCTGCCATTCTTAGGTGGGAGTGGCTGTGCCCATCCTATTGAGATTTATTTTTAACTAAGATATCCAAGGGTTGATGTTTATTAAAGTAACACATGGTCTTGAATAAATTAAATGCTTAATTATACATCTGTTTCCTAATTGTTTTTTTTTTATTGAGCCATATTCTCCATGTTATTTTCAACCACCATTGACTACTCTTTGACTTTTCCTTTGGTTATAATAAAAAACTTGTCACGTTTTTCTGTCTTTTTTTTTATAGGCGTTTATGTTCTTCTCTATATAGCATGTTATTAATTAAAAATGCATCCAATCATTAACTAATCATTGTGTGCATTAATACTGTTGATATGCAGTTTTACTTTAAATGAGATAACTGCAAAATTGAAGACTTAATATCCCTTATAATCACAAAATAGATAAGATAAAGAATAGCATTCTTTCCAAGTAACTCTAATAAATTCTAGGGGGAAAGTTGAGGATTCTAACCTATAATCGCTAAATTTACCACTAATCTCTAATTATTCACTAGATTGCTGATTGCCCGTTGGTAGTATGGGGTTAAATTAAGCCACCGGCCGCCATATTGGTACTTGCTAGTTAGACCGGCTGCAATGTAAACAATATGTGCGCCACAGCATCAAACAACGAGAATTTTCTCATTGTCATTTTTAAAATAAAGATAAAATCATCACTCTGTCACACACTTGCTGTTTCATAGCATAAGTAGATTACTGTAGCTTATGATAAAGAAAATAGGCACATCACATTGCATAGCCATTATGTAGTCAATGAAGTCTCTAAATCATGTAATATAACAATACAAATCCATCACAATAAAGTGTTAATGGAGCATAATACAGATGTGCCAAAAGTGCAAAATGAATGATGTACATGTAATATACATGTATTTTCAAAATTGTTATAATAATTACATATTACATATAATTTTAAGATTTTACAAAAACACTGAATTACAACTACATTTTTTTTTATTTCTGTTAATGCTATAGTATGTTTCTATTTGCAAATAGTGCATGCATGATATATATATATATATATATATATATATATATATATATATATATATATATATTTATATATAATCTATATATATATATATATCAACAGTGAGTTTATTACTTTCATTTTTTTTTTTGTTGAGTTAGCGTTAGCTTGCATGACCGGCTCCGTCATGCTGGTTTTCCTTCAGTATGAGCGCCGCAAGCGTCACGTCACGTGGCTAAGAAAGCGTTACGGGATTGGCTGGGTGTTGGACGCCACTATCCATTGCTAATGTCTGTGACCTGAAGTAACCCTTCCGTTTTTACACTGAATCTCAGGAGGCTGAAAATATTGAGTTTGAATTTTGAAAGGTTGAATTTTTTTATATGCAGATTTTTTTAACACAGAAAAATTAAACAAAAAAATAAGTATTGAAAATGTAATCACTTTGAAATAGTAATGTGAATTTTTAGCTTGAAGAGAAAATAACAAATTAAATTTGAACTGTATAGAAATAATGACAATTAATTTTTTTTAGTTCATAAATGTGTTCTGAATATATTTTAACACTGAAACAGTAAGTACAAACATACAACATTTAAATTTCAGTGCCATTTTTAATTCAAATCCCAGCGACACAAATTTACTTCCATAATCTACACTGTTCCAACAGGAAAAGTAACCAGCAAAATACACATTTTTTCTAGATATAAACAAACTACAGTACTCTTTCCCACAGCCTTTGCTAACAAATAGACGAATATATTCAAACATCCATCCTTTCTATATAAAAGGTATAGTGGATAAAATTCTTTCAGGTTTGAGTTTTGGGCGAACATCTTTTCCATTGTCACTAGTTACCTACTTTTATCAGTAATCTTTCTGCATAAAATTGATATTGACAATAACTAATATCTACATAAATTGATTATTTAATAAGATTTTATGAAAATAGTTACTTATCTATGATTTCACTGAAGACTCCCAGAAGACTTGTAGAGACATATTTTTCTCTTTACCCCATAAAACACAAAATCTATTTCTGCTTGAATTCTGTACTTATCTTTAATGTTTGTATATTGATGTGCATAATGGGCTCTATGCACAGCTCCACTACTTCCTGAATTTAAGGCAGCTCCTTTGTTTCCTGTCTTTCATTACTGGACGAACTGATTAATCCAGGTGTGTCTGGCCAGTTACTTAGGTCATACACACCTGGATTAATCAGTGCATCCAATCATGAAAGACAGGAAACAAAGGAGCTGCATTAAATTCAGGAAGTAGTGGAGCTGTGCATAGAGCCTATTAACCATATTGTTTTGTTGTCAAGTAATTGTTAATATATATAAAAATTTAAATGTTCTGAATATTCCACTTGAGAGTATTACTGTTGCCACCATCTGTATTAGAGGGAAACAATGGTAGGGGTGGCCAATGTTCAGCTAAGGTCACCCTCGGCCCCCCATCTAGCTCCGCCCCTGAGACTAATGTTACGCAACATACTATACTATAGGATACATCGGCGTATGGATTTTCCTGATTAATACATCCACTGACAGTGAAATTACCTGTGAAATGTCTTCCCACAGCCGGTAAACCGCTTGTTTTTGCAGCCAAATGCTACACATGTAAGCAGTGGTGGATCTAGACCACATGTACCAGGGGGGCCAGGAGGGAACCAGGCAAGGGATTCAAATATATTAAGAGAGCTGCAAGAAGTGACATTTCTATTCAATTAGGTTTCATAAAAGTTGTATTTCTTATAAGGTCAATTTACATTCATAATTTAGAAATTTTACAAATGTTTCACTTAATTTAGGTTAAAACTACCTTTTTCTATAAAATCTGAATTAGAACTCAAGAAAAACTGATAAATTCAGCTGTAAATTTTTTTTTTTATGTTTTGAAAAAAAAAAAAAACATTTAGCAGATTAAAACTGGGATCCTATCTCAATACCACTGAAGCTACCATCTTTTTGTTTTAAAATAATTAGTAAAACATAATTTGTAAAGAAAAAAAAAATGAAATAGATCCAAAGGACCTACCAGTAACCATGTCTGTTCCAGCGCATATCATCATTAGAATTTCTTCAGTACAGGGGCCATTACAGGGGCGAGGACATAATTTACAGGGGCATTGGCCCCAGTTGGCCCCTGTCTAGAACCGCCCATGCATGTAGGCATTTTTACTGCGCATCTTCGTGGGAGTGGGGAGTACCAGCATGGCGGTCGATGGGTTCACTTTTTTCGGGCAATCAGCCATCCAGTGCATAAACAGAGATCAGTTAACTTTACCCATTAAGCCATCATGGCGGGTCTCTGGACTCTGCTAATTAGCTGGGCCTGTTGATTGGTTGGTGCTAATTACACCAGGTGCGTCAGTGTCTGCTCATTGGCCACATCGTTGTAATGGTGGAGTACATTTTGAGTCCCAAACAAGGCGGTGATTAACGCCTCCTCCTCGCTGCAGACCCACCAAGTCCAGGGCTGACCCAGCAGTACCATGACCCGTGAAACCCCCAGAGAAGCTGTGGAGCAGCCTGTGGACAACGAGGTGAATAGAAAACTTCACATTAACCGGTATATGCTCTGGGTTTGTCTGCGCTGAACTTTTCACCGTCTCCACCTGTAGGGCAGAGTAGTGAGGAGAGACGGCGTCCTCCGCTCCTTTGTTCGCGGCCTCTTCTGGCCTTTCAGTCTCGCGGTAGGTTTGTCCAGCAACCAGCACGGATTAAATTACGAGGCTGTTGTCTAACTTGTCTCCCTGTTGTAGTTGAGGTCCTTCCGAGGATTTTGGTGGATGCTTAGTAGATCTCCGCCTCAAGACGCACCCACCTCCATCTCCGTGGTTTCCAGCCCCGTGCGCCAAAACCTCACCGGCCGGAAGCGCCTCTACAGGGTCACCCGGCTGCTGCTGCGCATCCTGCCCTCCTGGGCGCAGGCCGCCCTGGGCTACCCGGTGTCTAGCAGCGTTGGGTGCTCTCTGTCCCCAGGTTACAATCATTTAATTTTTTTCGCTCTTAACTTTTGTTATATTTTAAGTAGGGATATAGATATAGTTTCTACATGTTTCATGAACAGAGATCAGTGTTTCACCCACTAAACCACATGGAAAGGGCAGCAAGAGAAAACAAGATGAGCTTGATGATGACGAGGAGGAGGATCATCCATCTTGGGTGGAGGTGCTTTCTAAGGAACTTCCAGATGATGAAGGCCAAGAGGAAGATCCTGACTATGAGGTCTGTAGTGCATACAATCAAACTCTTAAATTGAAATGTCAGCCAATCTGCTACTGTATTTAGGCCAGTGGTTTGCATCTACCAGACTGTTGGGTCGACTTGCTTGGTTTTTAATAAGTAATCAGTCTGTTCAGTTCTGCTGAAAACGGATTGTTGGCCCTTTGCTGAAAGTCTGTCTCTAATCCTGGGTCCAATGCTTAGGGACAACATTTAAATGTGCTTTATTTTTTTTGATGGGACCAAATCTTTGCATTGCAGCTGAATAATGTGACTGCATTATAAACATAACCATTTATTAATTGATATGTTGGCTTGGGTAGAGGAGGTCACAAATTTGGATGTATATTTATCCATTCAGCTGTTCATAATCAATCCTGAAAATTCTGTAGAAGTTTAAAAACAATCCACTGGACTTGGTTTCCAAGGTTTGAAGACTCTCTTCCTGTCTAGGAAGCTTTCTCAATTCAAATGTCTGGATAAGCAGTGAGTTTGAGACTTTATATAGACTTCAAACCTTGGAAACAAAAGTCCACTGGATTTATTTTCTAAACTTTTACAGAATAAATATGACCTGGATGAATGAGAATCTTGATTAGTAATCCTGAAAAAGTTAACAAACCTCTCTCTTCAGGTCAGCACCGAGGAGGAAGACAGTGAGGAATATGCCTCAAAGGCCGACACAGAGAGTGATCTTGAAATTACAGAAGGTCGCGTCGTTATTCGTGACGTGAACACGGTGAGATGACCTGCAGCTCTGTGAAGTTATGGCTTTATTCAAATGGTTGCATTCATTTGGCTGCTTTGTTTACAGGATGTTGCTGTCCCGATGCCAGCTGAAGAGTCTACAGCTGCTGTTTAAACTTTCTCTATTGCTGTAATTTTTGTATGTTTATATATTTGGTAATTCAATAAAACTTTAATGTGCTGTTTTGTCACCAGATGGCAGTATTGGCTTGCATTCTTTAAAGGGGGTTTGCAACTAATGTAGAACTCAGACTTCATTTTAGGCTCCATTAACCAGATGGTCCAGTTACCTTAAATTCAGTTTCTGCCAAGCAAACTGAGCACGGATGGCATCGGATGGCTGTATGATGCGGTGGCTTTTTTTTTTTTTTTTCTCTGGGAACATCTCTGCAGGTAAAATGTGGTCCTTATGCCATCTCTTACAGACAGACAAACCTGCAAGCTGTAAATTCATGCTGTTGGCTGCATTTATGGAGTTTGGGTATGAAAAAGACCTTAAGTGGCTGCGCCCGAATAAATCCATAACTTGTGCAAACGATCCCAGACTTTAGCTCACTGATGTTTCACTTTTCTGAAGTGATGTTAGATTATTGAAATGCAAATGAGGCTGGAGACTACTCTATGAAAACGCCCCTCAACTTGGACATTTGTAAACACAATTTCCAGTGGTTGAGCTTAGGATAATCTTTGGTTTCACTTGAATAGGCTCTATTCACTAGAAATTTGATTTGGGCAGGTGTATTTTCCCCAGCTATGTGACTGTCAGTTTTAGAACTGGTCATTTGGAGACATCCACACTCTCCTGTTCACCCTGGGTCAATTTTCCAGATGGTAACCTTTTGTTCTGAATGGAATGGTACAGTACTCTGAAAATGTCTTATCTGACCAAATCGCACAAACCCAATGCAAGTAATGAGCTCAAATTTTAGATGGGAGAAGTCAGGATAAGCCTCTGCTTTAACAAAAGATATAACTTACCAGAGTGATGTTTTACAGCTAGCTTCCTTATCTGTTCAGTGTCAGATTGAACAGGGTTTTGTCATTATGGATGCTACTACCGGTAAATCATATGTGAACAAGGCCTACATAATTACCAGGGAGCTGTTCTGTATGTGCAGAAACACTAGGTGGTGCTAGAGCACCTGCCATTTTCCTCCTGAACCAAAAAAGTACCCTAATAAGAGTAGCTTTAGTGTGTGGCATTTCTGGATTCCTAAATTTCTATCAATGCCACCAACTTTAATTCTTTTGATCAACCTTCTCCCCCCACGTGCCTCTAAGCAGACCTGAAATCAAAAGCACGCTCGATGGCCCAAAGCTTTCTCCTCTCCTTCACCCTGCAAAGTGTATTTGGTGATTGCAGCATAATGCTGAGAAAGGGGTACAAGCAGGCAGCACTCTGCTCTCCTGGATCAAACCAGCAGCAGCTTTGGTAGAGGAGAAAGATGTTGGTAAAACTCATAAGGGACAAGAGATCTCTGGAAAGAGCAATATTTTTTTTTATATATCTTTACTACCAATCTCAATTATGGTAGTTATACATATATTAAAATTTGTAGAGAAATGTATGTACCAATGTGTTTACAGCACAGTTCAGAAGTGTCTCAAGTAGTTGCTCAGTTTGAGTCTGAGACATTCTTTAGGAATACAGGTGCCATTGACTAAATCACTGGCTGAAATTGAATTCAGGGGCTGCATCCTCTGAAGGCCAGATTCATAGGCAGATTATATCATAGCATGGCGCTGAGGTCTGTTAGGATTCCAATACTCCTCGTTATGCGGCCGATTAGAAGGACGGGTCTGGTGTATCGTAACCTTGGAAATCTCTTGATTCATTGGCTGTCCATTTTATTTCAAGTTTGTTTAGTTTTATATATCTAAAATGCTTAATTATTTCATACACTTTCATTATACAGTTCTTTTTACCAACTTTATCGCGAAGCCAACCTGTAGAGTGTTAAGGCTGATTAATACTCAGAAACCAGGTCGTCTGCGTGTGTCGCAGTGAATCCACATAAATCCCCCCCATTTTGCAGACAATCTGGTGCGTCTCTCAAATTGTAGGTGAACGCAGACAGGAGGAATCTGGTCAAATCTACATCCGTAGATCTATGCATATTTCCTCTTTGATATCGGCTTGTTTTGTTTGTATAACCGCCATTGTGGGAAAACGACTCGTGAATTTGGACCAGCTAGAAGAGGGAGGTGCGTGACAATGCTGGGAGCCTTTTTCCACCTGGATCCCAGCTCTTTTTCCTCCGATGTCGCACAAACTTGCCCCCACTTCCTCACCGCCTCTGCCATAGCTAGAACCACAGCTAGTTCGTGATTGTACCTCTTGCGCTGTGGCGTGGAATAACATAGTGCAGACCCCGCTTCAATATTGGGCATAAATCAAAACATCTGCAACACATTGCTGCAGGGAGTATAACCAGCCCTTTAAACAATATTAAAAACAGTCATCCGACAGGATTTGACTATTGATTTGAAATAGTCTATTTGAGCACCTGCCCCTCAAAATGTCTGTGCACGTCACTGTATGAAGACCTGCTTTCTGGCTAGAGATAAGCGTTTCTGTGAGTAGTGCATAGAGGTGAACTTTGTTTTCATGTCACAGCTGTTGCAGCTATCGAAAAACAAACAGCATGACAAAGACATCTTTAGCGATCATCCATTTCGGTTTCATTTAATTTGACTGCTGCTGCTGTCCTTCGGCAGGGGTCCTTATTCATTTCTGTAATCCATGTGTTTGAGCGATTCATAAAATGGAGAAAAACAAACAAGCGGTAATTTGGTAATCGTAAAAATCCAGCTGCTTTCAATTAATTCCTGAAAGCCTTTCAGCTTTTTTTTTTTTTTCATTAACCGTACTTTTGAGCTTCCTTTTTTCTATCCCCCTTTGAGAACTTTTTTCACCTCCAGATGCTCGGGTGAAAAAGGCAGACGCTCTAAGAGGATGCTGGTTTGAAATGAATGCCTTATGTGTGTGTGTGTGTGTGTGTGTGTGTGTGTGTGTGTGTGTGTGTTATAGTGAAGAGCAGCTGCAGAGAGAACAGGATACAGAGGAGGAACTGGTGGTCTCTGGGGGTTCTTATGGCTGTCTGAACGTTAGAAGGGAAGCCTGCTCAGCAGAGGCAGCGATGGAGAGTATCGACCCCCATCTTCTGTCTTTGTAGTCAGCTGGAAACCATCTTTTAAACCTTGAAGCTTTGTCTTTGACTTTGAAGGCGAGACCTGTACAGAACAATATTTTCGGAAAATGCTCTTGAAAAGAAGGCTCTTAGAGAAGGAGGCGATGAGCACAGATTTGCTAAGATGTTCAATTCAGATGCAGGGTCACATATACTTTCATAAGGCCTTGCAAAAGTACTTATAACCCAGACCTTCTCATGTTTCATGAATAAATGCTACATTTATTGTGGCATGTATTTATATCATGGTACATTTACATATATTTAATGCTACCCCTTTAACTCTCCATAGTAAAGGACAAAAGGTTTAGACACACCTTCTCATTCAAAAAGTTTCTTTATTTTCATGACTATGAAAATTGAATATTTACACTGAAGGCATCAAAACTATGAATTAACACATGCAGAAATATATACTTAACAAAAAAGTGTGAGACAACAAAAAATATGTCTTATATTCTACGTTCTTCAAAGTAGCCACCTCTTGCTTTGATTACTGCTTCGCACACTTTTGACATTCTCTTGAGGATCTTCAAGATGTAGTCACCTGAAACGGTTTTCACTTCACAGGTCCCCTGTCAGGTTTAATAAGTGGAATTTCTTGCCTTATAAATGGGGTTGGGACCCTCAGTTGTTTTGTGCAGAAGTCAGGTGGATACACAGCTGATAGCCCTACTGAATAGACTGTTAGAATTTGTATTATGGCAAGAAAAAAGCTAAGTAAGGAAAATCAAGGGGCCATCATTACTGTTTGTGGAAAAGAGGGACATCTAGCAGAATCTATTGAGCTGATTGAGCAAAGCAACACCTAGTTCAAGCCAATCACAGTGACTAATGAAGTAGCAGCAGATACTATGAGAAACCACAACGGCTTGTGCTGTTACAACCTTGATCCTCTTTCGAAAATCAACTTGTAGGTTCTGAAAAAACTGATCTGATTGCAGCCACTACACACACTTCGTCCTGTGCTGCCATGTTTATTTTGGTTTGACTGTGGACTAGACTTAATTGCTTTCATCACAGATATATATCTCACATTAATCTGTAACACTGCATCGTGACTGGCCTAGCCGTTTTGGGCTGGACTTGAACAATTTAAGCTGGAGCTGTGCAAGATGGTTTCTTGTGTGTTTGTGAACTCAAAAATAGTCAGCTTACTGGCCAGGTTAGAAGTTACCGGTACATACCGGGGAATCACTTATGAATTAGCTGACTTTTGCAAGCAGATTGTGCTGGAACTTGTTTAGGGACATCAAATTAAAGTGGGCCTTATAGCTTTTATTTGTAGCATTGATTAAAAACCAAGTGTTATTTTCCTTCTTCCTAATTATGAATTTCTTTCAAGGAACTCAACTACTTTGAGCTGGTCGATCAAATAACAGGTTTGTGAAACACAGTTAAAGATAGTGACTGCCTCAGAAAAGGGTATAAATGCTTTAACAAGGTATTGAATGAACAGAGAAAGACTTTCATAGGATGTCACAAGGTTATATTTTGGATTTTTTACCTGATCTATGTGAGCAGCACAGATGGTTATAAAACCTTCCTGACACAAACAAATGCACACCCAGAGGTAAAGCCCTGCATGGTCACGGCCAGAACTTTCTGACATCGGTGCATTGTCACCTCAAATGGATAGAGGCAGTTGCCGGCTGCTCCCTGGGCCGACAGTGTGACCTGCGGGCTGCTTTTTGTGCTGCATGACAATGCGACTCACTTCTCAAACTCACTTCTTGCCTCTTACTTTGTGACTGTAGCACTCCCCACTGTCCCTCTGCACAGTCATGCACTGTGATTCACTTTACCTGTGGCCTAATGACTGTCTGTCCCTGCGGATTTCAAGAGCATCCATCATCTTCAGAGAAGTAGAGCAGGAAAAGAGGTATGAAAAGTGAAGCAGACAGAAGCAGACCTCTGTTAGTCACACACTTTGATGCATTGGACAGTGATGGCTCTTTAGGATAGTTTCAGAACTAAAGAACGGTGGAGATTTTGTGCAAAC